GAGCTAACATTGAGCTCACATCTTCGTTCATTTTCATATTTCATATTCGTTTTATATTTGCATTTTCTCTATCTGCAAATAAATCACTTCTTTATGGCTAATTAGACCTTTGTGTTCCGACACACCACATCTCCTATTCACACTAACGGCCCTTTCTACGACTCCTCTTCTCAAACAAACTCTTTCATCCGCTGTACTGCTTGCTGCTCCTCCAACGACGAGGACAACGATACCCACCAACCAACCCATCCATCCATCCTGCGAGACTCCCAAAAACTAAAAAGCATAAGCAGCAAGATATCCAACACCACTGCCAAATATGCAGAATGGGCACAATTCATGAAATCATATTAAATTCTAAACCTCCATGCAGAGAGATTCCGGCAGGATTTAATTTTAAGGAGTTTCTTCATTTGTTGTGTTATCATCTTTTGAAGGATGGGGAAAAGGGATGAGAAATAAATAATCAGGTCCAAGCACTTCCAAGGGACGTGTCCTGTATTCATTCATTCATGATGTATGTATTCACATTTTGTGTAAGTAAAAATAAAGATGTTAATTACCATTTTGTTAAAAATACTGTGTTAATCCCGATTAAATTGATTTCATGGAACGATCTTGATTCGCATATGACGTGGAGAGAGAGAGAGAAACACTGCATAAACAAGTATATCCCGATAATCGTGCATGAAAATTCCAGTGCAGTGCAGTGGTTTGATGTCGTGAAGGACCGTTTGGATGGAAGGAGCAAATTCTAAACTTCCTTTTGCAGGCAATCTGCCAAGCTCACACTGTTGGTGGTTGGTTTGGTTCATGGTTGGCATTGGTCGGGGTCTCCTCGCAGTTCGTCTCATCTTCAAATGAGATCTTAACTCACTCACTTCAACGGCTTTTCACTCATTCACTCAACTCTGTAATAATTCCTCCACTACGATTCCCTTTCCTCCTCGAACTTCTTCTTCCGGTGAACAGACATCGACCCCACGAGTCGATTACCAAGTTTACTTCACGTTGTTATTCCTGATAAGCACTTATCAGACGTTATATTTATCGAAACATGGCAGACTTTCTCCGCTTTCACTGAGTTTTTTGGAAATAAAAAATTACTGCAAAATTTCGAAACTGGCGTTGGAACGTGACCATTTTTGTAATTAATTGTGTGCAAAATTTTAATCATATGTAAATAATTTCTTATTAGACATCTGTGTAACTGGATACTTCACGAGTATGCAACAACTATTGCCTTCTTTCAATTCAAATCCAACTTTTTTTGCATCCTTTCCAAACTGTCATTCTGGTGACTTTTGTGCCTGCCAAAAGTAACGTCTTCTTCAAACCAGAAGCATATGTCATGTCACTCTTCCTCTTCTCAAGTTGTCGTTTTGTTGGTGTCACATCACCAGCAAGAACACCACCGACCACACCTTCTGGCTTTGATTTAGCTACTCACTCGCATGATGAGTGAAGTAATTTGCTTGTATTCAAGAATTTTGGAGTGAATTATTTTTAGAAATATAATTTAAAAGAAAGCCGAACATGTTCGCTCCGTCACATTTTTGACAGGGGTTGATTGTAGAGAGAAAGTTATCTATGTAACCAACTCGGAAATAAATTGTCATCATAATTTTTATTATTTTGACCTAAAAAAATTTCACATTATTTTTTGAAAGTCATACTTTTTTTATAACTCTTCTTTTTTCTCTTTTTGAGACCCTGAACCCTAATAAAATGGCGTCCTGCAGGTCACGTCACGTCAGGCATCCAACCTTGCTTACTGTCCGATTTGGTTAGTTAGTTGGACTTCTTTCTGCCTGTCTGTCGTTGTCGTTTTGGCGAGAGGAATTGTTGGAGTTGTTGGTTGGACGAGGAACGGAAACAGCGAGGAATACGATACGAGAACAAGACGGAGCTATGCTATGTGCATAGACCAACCAACCAGTTGTGTCACAGACAAGTCAGTCAAGTCAGAGAGTGACAGCATCAGAAGGACCGGGACAAGAAGTAGAAGAAAGAACAGCACCACCACCACTTTTGCTACACGACTCGTCACTTCAACAAACCTCCTGTAAAAAGTTTACTTAACTGGCTGACTAAATACTGATCCGGGGGCAGCCACATATTCAGCTAAATATTTAAGAATCCAAGATTTCCTCGAGTTAAAAAATATCAGGCCACAATTGACTTAAAAAAACTGGACGATATGACATGATTTCTCCTCCCTGTGACTTTTACTTACGGTGGAATGCAGCATGTACTTATCTATACATACATAAGTATGTATAGATAAGTATTTGGAGTGAGTGCGAGCATCATGTCGGACTAAACAGGAGCCAAAATCGTGGTCCTATAATGTAGCTGTCGGAGGAGATTGAAAAGCGGAACGGGAAAAAGTATGAAAGACAAACTCTGCTCTCGAGGAAACGATTAGCTTCGGCAGTCCCCACTCAAATTATGACAAATTGTATTACACTTTCACAAGAATGTACAAGGGAAGGGCCTCTCTCTCTCACTTCACTCATTCACTCGTCTCCTCAACTGTCAACTCTGCCAAGAGGAAACAAAACGAGAGTCTGCAGTTGGCATGATTTGCTCAATTTGGAAGTCGAGCTGGTTCTCGCTAGTGTAACAAAAAAAAGAAAGTGATGCTTTTTCTAGAAGTAAAACATAGCTCGGTTTTCTATTTATGTAACTTAATAGAATTGTCTTGGTCAAACTGCTTCATCAGTTAACGTAACGTAACACCTTGATTTTTTTTGCATAATTATGTATCTGTGAAAAACTACCCATGTTGCATAATTGGGTTGGGCGTAGATGACACAAATGCTGGACCTGGTGATGAGGCGATGTGACATTATTGCAACGGGGTCACGGATGCATGCAAATATGTGCGAAGGTGCAAATTACATATGAGGCCTATGTGCAAATTTTGTATTTTTCGAAATAAAATGAAACGTTTAAGGGATGAAACTGGCAGTACACGAATGTCCAGCGACTTTTAGCCCTAATCTCGCATTGGTGGATCCGCAACCTTTATGAATTCCTCCTGAAACCCAACTTTCTCATATTTTTTTGTGTAATACGGGGAGAAAAGGAAGGTGGAAAAAAGTGAAGCTTTCGGATGTGAAGGAAATCACAAGTTATGTATGCCTATCATCTCCTTGTTGAGTTGTTGGATCGTTCTATGAGAATGGATGGATGAGGAGTAGGTAATTCCGAGAGCGCGCTGTATCGCGCTTTTTCTGGCACTAATTTAAAAAATTCGTTGCTATACTCATGAGTAATTGGTGAGAGTAAAAAATTCGCTTGGCGTCAAGCATCCATCAGGATTTATTATTTTCTAAGCATTTAATAATATATAAATTACAACATGACACAGAAAATCTTTTCTTAAAACATAAGAATACAAAACATTTTAACGCGTACGGAAATTGCATGTTGCCTTTCTAAACTTATACGTCAAATAATTGCATTAACATAAAATAGTATATAATAATAACATCAAATGCACAAATTAAATACTTTTGTATATATTTCCAAACATATCAATCTACAGACAGTATTATGCGAGTTATCAAATAAATAATTATGCACTATATCGTAATGGTAATCGATGTTGATCACTTGGCCTGCTTAGCCGCCTTAGCCCTACTTTCACGCTTGTAGATGGCTCTAGGAGTCATTGATAAGACGCTCCTATATCCACCCCCCCGCGGCTGAGGAGGTAACCCAGCAGCAGCTCGAACACTTGCCGCTTTCCGCAATTCTCTTCGTCGAATTGATGTGCCAGTTGGGGAATCCCCTTTTGGTTGACGACCACTTGGCAAAGGTGGAAGCCCCTGGCTAGCTCGCACAGATTTGGCAGCCCTTCCATTGCGAGAGGCAACTGCATATTTGCTCATGGATGGACCGTCCCGATGTTGCACGGCAGTCACACTTCTGATCGTGGCCACCAATTCTGGTATATTATCACAAGGACAGTTTCCCGAAGTATGCGATACATTCTTTTCGAAACCCCTCCCGCACTTTACACAACTATACGGCCGATGCCACACATTGCAACGAGATCGTGGTGTCACGTCCTTCGTGGCACCAACTGTAACAACCAGGTATTGCAAATGATCCGACTGAATCGGTGGATTAGCGGCTAAATCCACTCGGCACTCCAGGCCCACTGGTACTCGAACCACTGCATGATCCAACATATTACTGGATTGTCCAGCCTTGCCGAGATGGGTCCATGGATGGGTAACCGATCCAGCATTTTCCACCCCTAGCTGGAGGTCGGATTCTACTCGCATTCCAATATCACCTAACCTCTTCTGTATTTGACCGAACATTGGATCATTGCGGTGGACATTGAAATCGCCCATTGCTATCCAAATGTCCTTTGGTCCAAACAGATCAGGGGGGCCAAAGTGGGTTGCTAGCGCATTCAATTGCAACACTTTGAACGCACCCTTGGCATCGCCAGGGCCATGCATGCCTGATTGCAAATGGCAGCCGACCAAATGACAAGTGTAGCCGTCTTTGGTAAGGGTGGCCGCTACTTGTCGATGGTCGTCTTCGCCGAGCGGGTCAATATGCAAATTCCCAGGTACAAAACCTATACCAGGTTCAGCAAGGATCACGACTCCATGTGTGGCACTTCCAGCAAATCCTTTACAATTACATGGTAAGTCATGACGGTTCCAAGTCGGCAAGAGCTTCAGAAGGGCTGTCGTCTCCTTCCGTCCAAATCTCGGTCCATGGTGAGTCTCTGTCAATACAAGTACATTAAAGTTTTTTGCGGTTTGAATTGCATGGATTTGAGCAATTTTGTTGACGAGCGGGACATTTTTGTGGTCGATTAAGCCCTCTGCATTTATGGCCACAAACCGAAAGATAAAATTGTGTGCCATTTTATCATCAGGTCAAACAGCAAAATCTGCGACACAATTCAAACAGTCACTCCTGCGAATTTGTCTGCGATGCAAATATTTTTTATTCAAAAAAGTATTTTAATGCCTTAATCGTAACAATGAATTTTAACCTAAATTAATTTAATCTAAATTAAATTTGAATATTCTTCTTCTGCCCGTCTCTTCTTCTTGACGTCTTTCTGTAAAAATAAAATGAAAACATGCTCTGAATGAACTGGCTCATAAAAATCAAAGCGAAGGCATTTTACAAATTAGTCGATGACGTGAACTTTGAGGAAGGCGGGTATTTATCAACTTGGGAACATTATTAGTTCTTAAAAAACCTTTATCTTTCCTTATTTTTAGCCCGAACCAAGGGCTTATGTACCCGTTGTGTCTGTCCGTCTGTCTTCGATAACTTTAGAACGCGTTAACCGATTTCGATGAAATTTGGCAGAAACATGTATCTGTACATGTATCTTACAATTTGTATGAGAATTCACCACACCTGAAGAAGGAAATATTTAATTTCCGAAAGCTCGTGTTTTGCTAAAATAAATCACAATGTCTTCCATGAGACCCGAAAATTCACCATTAAACATGTATCTGGGCAATATGCAATGCGACGAACGAGTTCGAAGACGGGTTCGATCAAAAAAGATTTGGACCGGTGGGGGTCATATTAGTGGTGTGGATTTTTAAAACCAAAGGGAGGACCCTTTGGTTTTTGGCGTTTGGTGCAGAGTATTCGAAAATAGTCGTAAAAGACTGAAATTCGGTATACTAGTACCAATAATATAAAGTAGGAAAATGATTGGACCGGGTGGGGTGACCCATACCAATTTTGAAATATTGTCCTAGAACATTGAAATTAAGCATATGGGTCTCTATTAGCTTCTTATGAAGTAATATGAAGCAACTTTTGAAAAAAAATTGACACAGAGATACCCTATGAGGTGATCCCCACCGTTTTTTAAATGTTGTCTTAGAAGTCTGAAATTTGGTACATAGGTCTCTGATGGCTTAAAATGAGGGAATAGGATGTTGAATTGAGCAATTTTCAACCTGAACAATGTTCACGGTGATAATGGGAATGATGCTCAATTCGATGAAGAGATTAATGAGAATACTTTAAACATACTTACCCGATGTTGGTTGTGGTAATTGTAATGGGAGTGGATAGAGAAGGGAAAGACGACGATGACGATGACTGCGACTGACAAGTTATCCAGAAGAATTGCTACCTACCCAAGGTAGAAGTAGATGAAGTGGCGAGTTTCGTGTTGACGTAGCTGTGGCGTGGGGTAGCCACAATAATTTCGTCCAACAATACAATGCCAGGTGGGATTGTACTTCTTGTCAAATTCCTTCTTGACGAATGCAGAATTGACCTGAAATAAAAAACAAATATTTTAAATGATGATAACTGCATACAATATTGACAAATTTGCTTAAATTAGATAATTACTTACCAATAAATTTCCGAAAAACTTAGAAGAGGAGGCAGAGGTGACGATATGTTGTCGCGTGTATGAGGCGAACGTGCAAGTAGTGTTGTATTGGTAGTAGAGTAGCCAGCCACTCAGAGAATCAGCCGGCAAGGAACCAAACCGGCCGGCTGGCTACTCTACTACCAATACAACACTACTTGCACGTTCGCCTCATACACGCGACAACATATCGTAATCTCTGCCTCCTCTTCTAAGTTTTTCGGAAATTTATTGGTAAGTAATTAAAGCAAATTTGTCAATATTGTATGCAGTTATCATCATTTAAAATATTTATTTTTATTATTGCATTCACCAAGAAGGAATTTCACACAAGAAGTACAAACAGACCTGGCATTGCATCGTTGGACGAAATTATTTTGGCAGTCAAGTCACTACGAGACTTGCCACTTCATCTACTTCTACCTTGGGCAGGTAACAATTCTTCCCTTCAAGAGTGGATAACTTGTCAGTCGGCACATCATGGAAAGAGATGACAAGGTTAAGGCCCTGAGGGCGATCTCAACCCTAGTCGAGGATTTGTTTGGAGGGTCCGGCGAACATGTTGCCGGAGGTTATGAAGACATAGACTCTTGGAGAAATCAACAGGGTAATCATCAACAGGTACACAAATAACATATTTTCTGTAATTTCATGAAAACTTAAAATTTGTTTTTGGTTTTCGGTGGACTGTAGGGATATGGATCATATATGGGTGCTGATTCGTACCATGTGCCCTCTTACTATGGATCATTCCAACAGTACCCACCGAATCACTCGTATCTCGTGAATGAGGGTGATCCCTGGTCAAACAATGGAGGAGGAAGTGAAATGTTTGTCGGGGGTGGAGGCCACGCCGGCGGTGGAATGCATGAATCTGCTGGCTGCGGGGGTCACTACAATGTTGCCGAAATGTTTAGCCGAAGGAATGACGGAAGCATCCTTGGAAATTTTGGAGGCGGTGTTCCCAATTATGGCGGGTATGGCAATGACATCCCTCCGAAAAGGAAGCGTGGGGGTCGCGGTAACGGGGTAAGTTTTTAGCCCGAGCCAAAGCTTATAGAATCACCATGTCTGTCTGCGACACGATAGGCGCAAAACGGCAGAACCGATTTTGACCATTTTGGTCTTAAAATGTGTATCTCGGCAATGCCTTGGATGAGTTGAATGACCTGATGAATTTTTTTTATTTCAGCCAAATTCAAAGAAGTGGAAGGAAAGGTGTCACAAATGTGACGAACGAGGCCATTATGCCCGCGAGTGTCCTAATGGTAGGGGTCCCTTGGGTGGGCGTGTCGACATGGATCGTGGCCAGGTTTCTCGGAGGCACGGTGGACCTAAACCAGGAGGTAATAATAATGATAATAATAATATAACGGTGATGATGATCCACTTTTTCTGAAGGAACTCGACCACGGCGATCGTCCCCAAATCGGGAACAAAGGTCAAAAGCCTATGCTGTAGGGAGGCGAACCGGTAGTTGTGGGAGTGTTGCTCCATGCTCGTCTTCCTCATCTTCTTCCCCGCCCGGGAATTTATTGTCATCATCGAGGAACTATAATCACCAAAGCGGATCAAATCATTGGGCTTCAAACTCCTCCAATCTTAATACTAGTCAAAACGGGAATGGGCAAGAAAATATTTCCGGTAAATTTTACTGAATTAATACTGTCATAATGGAGGAGGCGTCATAGTTTTCTTCATCCTTTGCTTTTAAGGACTTCAAATGAATAACAATCCAAACGGAAATGATCATGGACGACTCCCCATGACAGAGGAGGACGAGGACATGGCGGAGGTTCTGGGTCTGCAACGCCAAGAACAGGAGCAGAACTCCCCCCTGCAGAACACGCCCCTTCATGACCAATAATACTTGTATTGAAATAACTTGTTTTAAATTACACCTACAATTCTCTGGCCTGGTTAATGTAACAATTATTAAATTTGGCACATACAAAATTACCTCTATATTTTTTGAATGTTGTCATTTATGGGGCAACTTTTTGAGGCTTTGAGTCTTTCCCAGCAGTTTCTGTCGTGGACACAAATTTACTGTCGAAAGTAGCAAAACCATTTCACACTAACCGAACGAACCCAACACACCTCACTCATACTTCTCACTCACTCGGTCCGTGTGCGGGGGGCGACGATATTATTACTTATTTGTACTCCTTCTTTAGGCTACGTCTTTCTCAAAAATAAGGCATCTCTCTCATCCAATAACATAACATAACAGTCGCCGGCCGCGATACGAGGAGAAAGCTCTGGCCAGAGCAAAAAAAACCAAACCCGTCGTAAAGTAGAAGCAAATTACGAAATAATTTAAGAAATTGTGGACAAACCAAAGCCTATTTCTTTCTCAGTATTTAATGACAAAGCTTAAAAAGGGTTCTCGCAGAGGGACGATGCAATGAGCTAGTGTCACTATTAAATGGTGGTGAAATGGGATAATATTGTGGCATCTAAGTCAAGATTAAGATTAGAAATAGGGGTCATTCCTTGTAACTGGTAGTCGCAGTATGTAGTTCCACTACTAAATAGTTTAGTACATATAAGAAATTAGTGTAAATTAATGAAATGGTTGTTCATCAGGATTATTATGGTTTGCAAGCCTCAAGGACAACAGCTCTTAAAATATGTGCACTAAAATACTTACAAATCAAAACCAGATTGTCGTAAAAACGTCTTTATTTCTTCTTCTCAATTTTATAACAGGCCGTCAAGCAACGATGATTGATATCTGTCTGTAGTGGAAATAATTGCAATTTTATTTTGGCATCTTAAAGACAACCCGCGCGTCTACGGGTCGTCGTCGTCGTTGTTGTCGTGACACGTCCAACTGACCAATGGATGATGTCATGCTGCATCATTATTATTATTATTATTAGTATTTGCCAACGAGAAGAGAAACCTGCCATTCAAGAAAAAATGACTCTGACTGACCAATTCTTTCCAAAAAGAAATGATTTATCGTCTTGTTGTTGTATTTAACAAGTTGTTCTTCACGTCTTAAACTTGTATCGTACTGATTGGAACGACGACAAACTTATTTGCCCTTTAAATCAGACATTTTCATGAATAATCTCATCATGTAACCTTAAATATTGATGTGGCAGGAATTACTTAACCAGCTTATGCTTGCTTGGATCGCTTATTAGTAAGTTTGGCAGGCAGGCTGGGTTGGATTGGAGCCCGTCCCTGCGATGGAGATGATCACTCTCGAGTTATTCGGTACGAGTTCAATGTTGTTGATTGAACCCTTTATGCAAATGAGATTTATTATATGAAGTAGGAGGGCTCTGTTAATTGAAAGCGTTTTAATAATTGCTCCGCATCCAAACTCCTAAAACTAGGCAGGCAGGCAGGCATGCAGCATAATCCAACCCAAATAAATCTCTCGCAACATAACAGTCAACGCCAACTCAAGGCTTTGAAGAAGACGATATTGAGGAGAAGACATTAAATTGATTTGTTGCGACCGAAAGCGAATACCATCATCAATAGCAGCCGTGTTTTATTACCTCCTCGTCTCACAACCCAACCAACTTTGGCCCTATACATTCTTCACGTGCATCTACGTATGTATATTCCGAGCTGACTCGCAGGCTTCTTTTTTCGAGAAACATCACATGCATCAAAATCCATCGAAAATATTGCTCGCCTTGCCAGCATGTATACGAGCCATAGCATGTTACGACTGCGGAAAAAAGATGGTGGATGGATATTTATTAATAGTGCGAAAGAAAGTCCTGCATGCATGCATGAAATTAAAAGCTAGATCAAAATGAATCATTTCCTATTCTTGTGATGATGACACGGTGACAGGAAGGACCTGGGTGGAAAGAGATCTCGCCCAGATACTCACACCACCACTGCCTCGATTTCACAATGTCCCACATGTGCGAGATGGGAGGAAGGACGCGTATGAAAAGCGGAGGAGGAGGAGGAGGGCATGAAGTGAAGGGAGAAGGAATTGGATTTGGATTTGTTGTTGAGAATTTTTGGCCAAGATTTGGTGAGTGAGCTGAGGAACAGTGATTGGTAGGAGAATAAATCAAGGTGATGTCTGGCTGGTAGGGCAGTTTTGAGCATTTTGAGTTGTTCGTGGTGCGGGGGGGATTGCTATAAAGGAGGGGGGCCATAAATAATGTCTATGAAAATGGGAGAACGTCGGGGGACTTTCGAGTGTGAATGAGGATACGTCGGTCTTTCTAGTCTTCCAATATATAAATCAGTTTCCCCAGAATTCCTTATCTTCAAGGCACAAATCAGCACAGAACTTTTGAAATTAGTGTCAGCCTCGGCGCGATACAGCGCGCTCTCGGAATTATCTACTCCTTCACCCAACCAACCAAACCAACTAAGCACCGGCTAAGGCTAAAGAAGTGCCATTATTATGGAAAGAGTTAAACAGAGGATTCATGAATTTTGTGTCCAGAAATCATATCCGTCTTTCCTCGTCATTTTCCCGAAAAATGTGTCACGTAGTCAACCACGTTAATTTCCTTTCCTTAGCAGGCGTCAAAAAAAGACGCCATATTTTCTCCGGATAAGCCACACACCTAAAATCGCCCCATATTTTGGTCATGATTGTACAATTTACCTACAAAACGCCCCAAAATCACGGGGTATTTGCCCCCATCTAAATGTGCAAGTGGTCCTGCCGTCTCCGTCACAACTCTTCCGTCAGCGCGTTAGTGGGAGTTATTATTATGCTGGCCCTCTTTTATATACAACATTTAGATTTGGGATTGCGGATGGGATGAAGGAAAGGAGAGGAAAGACGAAACGAGATCATCTCATAATTAAACTCTTCTGTTCTACTACCACCATCATCAAAAGCCGACACTGCTCTTCAAAAGCTCTTCACTTTATGTCCGCATTTCTCTCTCCACACACACACAACTTTCTCCGGCCTCCTCTCAGTCATGCCACTTTGTAATGAGTTTTATACGGTAATTAGGTAAAAGAGCAAAGCGACAGTGGACTTAACCTTTGGCAGCCTCTTATTTTTCAACAATGTGACGTAAAAAAATTTGTATTATGTTTCTTCATATTTTCATAAATTGTCCTAAATTCCCGGAGGAGGATAAGTATGTACGTGGAAATATATAATTTTGCGAACACCGAGTGAAATTATTTTGTGTTGTTCAACTTTCCCAATCTAGATTTTCTCTCTTCTTCTTCTCCCTTCATTTAAATTAAAATAATAAAACAGTCAAACTGTCTCCATAATTTCCCCTCGGCTTGAGCAGTAGGATTTTCCCTTACAAATGAATTTCTAATTTTGTTTTGATTCATATTCGTCCATCCAAATTCTTGAACTGGATCGGATTGAATTTCTCTCTTCCGTTCCATTCTACGTGCGTAGGGCTGGAGGATTATTTTATTATGATTATGAGCCGAGGTTGAGTGAGACCCTTAAACTCGTAATTCAAACCTTTCTTCATTATTTTCCTTGAGATGGCTCCCAAAATGAGATATATTATTGGTTTTATCCCATTAATTTGTATTAATGATCGCTTATGCTGCTGCTTTACTGGTTAATGGCCACATTCCTAGTTTCCTCTTTTAATACTTGCCTCGCCGTCGTGGTGGTGGTCGTTGTGGGGCTGCCAACAAAGTGACGTTTCCCTACCCATCCAAAAATCGCGTCGTCGTCACACCAAGCGAGGAGACTGAAAGGGAGCAACTTACGTCGAAAATTTGGGATATTTATCAAATTTTATGAATAAATCCGAATTTGTGGTGTCTCCGAAAGAAAAATGTTTTCCATATTTGGTTCTCCGTGAGTTATTTAATGTTGCTGATGCTGGTCTGGCTGTTTCGCTTTATCTCATCCGCATTCGGCCGGGGATAGATGGATTCGATAATAAATATGATGGAAAGCTGGGCACAGTAACTTTTAATGTGCTTCGCTCTACACATACACATGCACAGAGGGTTTAGTGCACTATTATGCTTAACATGTATAGGGAAAGTATTTATAGGAGAGGAAAGTTAGTTGGTGGTGGTGGTGGTAATCTCGAGCTGCTCCTCGTGTTTTCTTTATTCTCATCTCTCGAGGGCGATATGATGCATTCATAAGGTGAATTTATGAGAGTGATTTTAAGTAAAGCAAAGTCATAAAGGAATTATGATGGGGGTTTGGATACTCCTGAGTGAGGAGTGGTGGATCCATGTAATTTAAAATTTCGGAAGGAGGCAAGTTTTGATTTCCTACTTAATTTAAAAAGTTCACACAAAAAACGGAGGATGATTTAGTGAAATTGTTTAGATACAAATAATAATATTTACAATACAAATAATGCTTTAGAATTGTCCCGGATTGAAGAAAGTTGTACGTACGTACTTTCTCCTCTCATCCATTGGGACAGAATGTGAACTCGTACATACGTCGTACTTGTCTGAGTGGGTGTGAGTTCTGTGCATTATTGTCTTTTGTCTCTCATCTCACTTTGATTGTGTCATTTACACTTGGCCATTATCGACACGTGACACCCGACAAGAAAGAAAGAGATCAAACCCAATCCAACCTCACACACGGAAATAATAAGGCGGCTTGCATCAGGACAAACTCCTCGCCTCAACTCATATGTCGACTCAAATACGAGCATCGTCACTTGATAAGAAGGAGGAATAATATATCATGTTGACCACCACGACTTATGCAGACACGTATGAATCGCAAACTTTGGGGGAAATTAGCACATGCAAATTTGAACATGCGAAAAAAATGGACGATCCACCCAAACTTTGTGTCGTCATATTATTCCTCGTTGATACAATATCAGCAGAGCAAGTGTAACCAGATGACAAAATTGGACATGATGAAGACATCACTAAATGGTTTGTCTTGCTGCATCGGCTTCTTCTCCCTTGTTGTCCTTCATTTAATTTTACTCGTATGTAGCATCGTCCTCGCAGCAGCAGCACCAAGTATCGGATCGGATGAGGAGAGGGAACAAATAATAATAAGAAACAACCAAATGTCTGGAACAACTACTGTGTAATCCAAAGTTAGTTGGTTAGCAATGATACGAGGCAAGTCGGAGGAGGAGGAGAAAGTTGGATGAGTTGTGTTGTGACGGGACGAGTGAAGTGAAGCACAGGTTGTTTTGCAAAACAACTTTCTCCATAAAAATGTGGTGTTTCTTTCATTAAGTGAAACAAGGGAGGCTTTTTGACGATGGGTGGTGCATCGTAATGGCGGAAGAAGGGATCATCTCGTCCCAAATATCTAATATGTAATGGGTGGGAATGCTTTAGTGAAAAAAAAAATGTGCAGTTTTTTTTACTTAATATTTTATTCACTTCTGATTGATTGAATATTTAAGGTTGGGAGGAAACGAGGGGATAAATTTCGTTTGCTTTAGTCAAATCCGGCTTTACCCACAAACTAAACTAAACTCGACTTAAACTAAGGAGACCTTGATTTGATTGGAAAGATGGAAGTCGAGTCTCAAGTGATTTTATTTTTCAAATTTCATTTCACTCGATGGAGATTGATTCTTGTTGGGAATTAGAACTGGGTTGAA